TGTCTTTGTCTCTCTCTCTGTCTCTGTCTCTGTCCCTCCCCTCTTCGATGTATTCTCCTAAAAGCTCCCAAAAGAATTCTCCCAAAAACACAGGTCTGACTACATAACTCCTTTACTTAAAGATCTTCAGTGGCTTTCTATTGCCTCTAAGACCCCAAACCTGGAATTCCATCTCTCACTTCTCTGCCCTCACACAAGCTGGTCCCCTCACCAGGAAGGCCCTTTCTCCTCCTTTTTATCTCTTAGAAGCCTAGTTCCCTTCACGGTTCATTGCCCTAATGTTGGAGTCTTCTCCATCCTCAATTTATCTGTTTGTTATTTTTCTTTTTACTAGAGAGGGCTCAAACATAGCTGGACAACATCTACTTAAGAAAGTTCAGGAATATGGCTAGACTTGGGGGGGCGGAGAACATTGGCCCTGATTTGGGCATTTAAGATTTGTTTCTGTAGCTCTTCCCCTCCCACTCATTTGCTAGAGAATTTTGGGACTGAGACACTGGGGAGGGCCCTAGAACCAAGAAAGTCCTTGACAGTTTTCTGGAAGAAAACAGAGGGCAAACGGGAGCAGTTTAGCATTTGGAAATTAAACGTGAACTTTCTGGCCTAAAGACAGATGGTGACTTCTGATAGAAATGTGGCTATAAGAACCAGATAATACAGTGTCAAAGACATGCTTAAACTAGCTGGGGGAGCTCTGGCTCAGAGTTCCGAAGAGCTTGGATGGAGGAGCAATGAATCACCTTTTGGAAAGGTAAGACCCATTTCAGCCCACGGGTGGAGATACAGAAGAGGTTCCTTCTGGGAGGAAAAGCCCAGGAAGATTTTCTCTCTAGTGTTAGATGTGTTAGCATTTCGGCCTTCTTAAAAGAACCATGACAGCGAAGCTTCTTAGTTTTATTCTAAAAAAGCGCTAACAGAGTCAACTTCTCCTTCCATGCCAAGTGCCAGCACCTTAGCTGTGTTCTCTAGCTAAAGGTGGAAGCTGGCAAATCTGCTACAACTTCAAAGCCAGTAAAGGAGTGCCTGGAAGTGACCAGCAGTGGACACAAAACCGATGGAGCACCACTGGGCAGCAGCCAGGAGTAACACTCAGCAGATACTGCCCACACGGGACCATCTAGGAATGGGATGACAGTAGAAGACACCAGTGACCCCGTGGCACCAGTGGCATGCATGAGTTACCCCTCGGCATACAATTAATTGTGTTTTCTTGCTTATTAGAGAAATTGAGCACATCATGCACCAGTTCAGGGCTCTTGAACCCTCATCAAGGGCCTCTCTCTCTTTTCCTTCCTTCCTTCCTTCTTTCCTTTTTCTCTTTCTTTGTCTCTCCCTTGCTCTGTCTTCTGTCTGTCTCTCTCCCTCCTCCCTCTCTCTCCTCCTCCTTCTTCTCTCTTTCTCTCTTCTTGCTCTTCTCCTATTCTGTCTCTGTCTCTCCCCTGCTCTGTCTCTCTCTGTGTCTCTCTCTCTCTCCTTCCTCTCCTCTGTCTCTCCAGCTCCCCCATATTCATCTATTCTCTCTAGGCAGATGACTCGCCAAACTACACATCCAGCTGTCTATGGAGCCTTAGCCTTGCATCTCTCTGCCTGTCTTTTCTAAATGAATGCCCCAAGGGCATTTCTAACCCTTGTCTAAAACAGAACTCATTACTTTTCCTTCCTCCTGTCAAAAAAAAAAAAAACCCACAAAAACTTGATTATGTGTAGAAACCAATTTGTTAGTCACATTTTATTTATGTGCTGCTGGAAGGGGAGCTCCAAGAACTCAGAGAAATAGACAAAAAAATACCAGAAATACCAAATACTGTGTTTTCAGATCATAATGCAATAAAAATTATATTTTAAAGAGCCTTTAAAAGAATTAAAAAATAACTGGAGAAGAGATCAAAGAAAAGGGAAAAGGACCTATCTGTAAAACAAAATTTGGAGGCAGCTAGATGGTTCAGTAGATAGAGCACTAGGCCTGGAGTCAGGAAGACCTGAGTTAAAATTTGGCCTCAGATGCTCACTAGCTATGTGACGCTGGACAAGTCACATAACCTCTGTTTGTCTTCATCCACCAGAGAAGGAAATGTGAAACCACTACAGTATCATTGCCATGAAAACCCCATCCAGGGTCACAAAGAGACAGAAACAACAGAAGAAATTTATAGAAGCTTTTTTTTTATGGTAGAAAATAATTGGAAATTAGGGAATGACTGAACAAGCTGTGGTATATGAATGTAATGGAATGCTATTACGCTAGAAGAAATGACGAGCAGGATGGTCTCAGAAAAACCTGGGAAGTCTTATATGAACTGATGCAAAATGAAGCAAGAATGTTGTATACAGTAATAGCAATATTATAAGGATGATCTAATGTGAAAGACATAGCCGTTCTGATCAAGGCAATGATCTCAGAGAATTTTAAAGGACCCATGGTGAAAAACACCTTCCACCTCCAGAGAAAGAACTGATGAACTCTAATTACAGATTGAGCATATTGTTTTCATTTTCTTTGTTTTTCTTAGGGTTTTTTTTTTTTGCTGTTGTGTTTTCTTTTGGAACATGGTTAATATGGAAATATGTTTTGCATGACTTCACATGTATAACTGATATCATGTTGCTTGCTTTCTCAAAGGGTGAGAAGAATGGAGAGAATGTGGCACTCAAATTTTTAAAAAATGAATGTTAAAATTGTTAAATATGTAATTAGGAAATGTTTAGCAAAATAAATTTAAATTTTTCTTAAAGTATTTGGACACTAAAAATCAACTAGTGATTCAAAGAACAAATTACTGAAATGATACAAAATTTCATCAAAGAAAAAGACAATAATGAGACAACAAAGTAAAATTTATGGGATACAGCTAAAATAGTTCAGTGGGGGAAATTTATATCTTTAAATGTTGTCATTAACAAAAAGAAAGAACAAATCAATGAATTAGGTCTGCAGTGCTTTGTTTGTTTTTTAAAGCTTGAATAACAATAAATCAAAAATCCCCAACTAAATAACAAAGTAGAAATTAGGAAAATTCAGAAGATTAATAGAATTGAAAACAAAAGGGCCACTGAATTGATAAATAAAATGAGCTGGTTTTTTAAAAAAAAATTAATAAATTAGGTAAGCTAGCTGACCCAATTTTTTAAAAAGAAAGAGGAAAACCAAATTATTCATACCAATAATGAAAAAGGAGAACTTACAATAATGGAAAAGGAAATAAAGGAAATTATCAGAAACCATTTTGCCCAGGTATATGATATCAAAAGTGATAACTTGGAGGAAATAGCTGAATACTTAGAAACAACATAAAATACCCAGATTAACAAAAGCATAAATAGGCTTCTTAAATCACCTCAGATTAGAAAAAGAAGTTGAAGAAGCAGGAAATTAATTTCCAAAGGAAAAAATTCCCAGGACCAAAAGGGATTTACAAGTGAATTTTGCCCAAAAATGAAAGGTTAATTCCATTACTATATAAACCATTTGCAATAACAGGAAAATTCCCTTCCAATAAGATTATATGGTAGTGTACTTAGAAAACTCTGGAGAGTCAAATTTAAAAAAAAAAAACTAATTGAAATAATTAATAACTTCTGCAAAGTTGCATGGTATAACATAAATCTACATAAATCATCAGTGTTTTTAATATATAACAAACAAAACCCAGTAGGAGGAAGTACAAAGGGAAATTCCATTCAAAATAATTACAGAAGCCATAAAGAATTTGGGACGGTATCTACTGAGATTCACTCAGGGACTATATGAATCTAACTCAATAGTTCATAAACTATAAAAATTATGCTCCAACTATGTGCCAGGTACTGTGCTTGGCACTGGGGATACAAATAAGAAAAAGGTTATCTCTGGAAAATGGAGAGTTAGCTGCAAAGTTCTGAACCCTCCATCAAAGGAGGTTTGGGAGGAATTTATTGCTACATCCTGAGGCAGTTGAGCATAGTGAGGAGGAAAGTGAATTAAAATTCCAAGCTGATTAGATTTCTAGTGATGAGCTTATCCTGGGGGAGGCTGGATATTTCAGCGGAGTCAGAACCGGGTAAAACAACTGATGGCAAAGGGAGAGAAACTCCCATTTAAATAGAGCCCGTGTTGGGCGTGGGGAGTAAATAGGGAGGAGGTGTCAGGTCATGCTTGGTTACACTGAGAATGTAATAACAACAACGAAAACATTTCTATTAAATTAATGTGTCTCAAAACTCTTTGCAAACATGTAGACCTTAATTACTGGAGACGCATGCATTGCTCGTGGGTAGGACGAGCTAATATAACTCAAATGACAATACCTCCTAAATCTGTTCACTTATTCGGTACTGCACCAGACTCCTACAAGATTATTGTATAGACGTAGAAAAAAAAAATGAAAATGGATACCAATGAAAAAAGGTGGGAGTAGGCGCTTCCCTTACTCTCCCCTACCCCATCTGGGAATTCCCTCTGTAAGGAAGTCTTGGGTCTCTGCCCCCTCCTCCATCAGTTTCATGAATGTGACTGGATCACTTCCTAATTCCTCTTTGCCCCACAGCGTCCAGGACCGCACCTCGCTTTCCACGCGTTGGACCAGGGACGCGCAAGGATGGAATTCACCGGGGCAATCCCGAGGTGCGCATAGGGCGGCGGCTGCAGGCGTCAGGAGAGCAGAGCTGCCGGCGGAGAACCGCCATGGCGGCAGGGGGCGCTGCGCCGCCAGACAGAAGGCGACCCCTCTCGGGCGCCGTCGTAACCGGCGCAGGCGCAGTCGCATTCTGATGCCAGGGCCGGGAGCTGGGAAGGCGGAAGCTCGATTCCGGCGGCGGCGGCGGCGGCGGCGGCGGCGGCCTGAGGGGCCTCGCCCGCTCCTGCGACCGTGCGGGCCTCCCTGACCGCGCGCTTCGCCCTCGTTCTACGCGGGGCCCCGGCTTCGGAGGCCTCGGAGCGACCGACCGACGGAAGAACCGACCAGTGCGGGTGAGTGTCGCGGCCCTGGGAGGCTGTGGCGCAGCGGTTGAAAAGCCCCCGCCCGCTCCGTGCCTCAGTTTATCTCCTCTGGGAAGCGAGTGATTGCGGCCCGGCGCCCCCGAGGAAAGGGGGACGAACCGGGATGGTCACGGCCAAGTCCACCTGCACGTATTAAGCACCTGCTGTGTGCTGGGCGCCCGAGGCCAGAGACAGATCCGGGGGCTGAGGAAGTGACTCGGAGAGCGCTCGGAGCACCCTGAGGTACCTCCGATAACGGCTCCGTGGGGCACAGACCGAGCGCCGGGGGCGGGGGGACCTGGGGACGGATGAGGAAACTGAGGCTCAGAGAGGTCCCGCTGGTAGCCTTTGTCAGGGGCGAGACTTAAACGCCAGCCTCGGGGAGCCTGAGGCTGGTCTATTTTACAGATGGGGAAACTGAGGCCTGCACAGGTTAGGTAACTTACCCGGGGACACACAGTAAGTGAGGCAGGATTTGAATCCAGGTCTTTTTAAAATCCTCCCCTCCCCTTAATCTTAGTACCTTCCCTGTCGATTGTCTCCAGTTTATCGTGGATACCTCCTTTTTAGTACATAGTTGTTGGCATGCTTACTGACTGCAGTGGTCCTAGGAAAGTCCCTGAGCCTGTTTGCCTCAGTTTCCCCATCATAAAACGGGGGTGCTGCACCTTCTTGCAAGGGTTGTTGTGAGAATCAGATGAGATAAGTTGCAAAGCGCTTAGCATAATGGGCTATGTTAGAGGTGGTGATGATGATGATGGTGGTGGTGGTGGTGATATCGGTGTTGATGCTGTCATTGCCCTACCTCTTAGTCGGTGAGCCCCCAACTGCCCGAGCATTGAGGTTTGGTTTGTTTTTTGGGCCTTTTTATCCCTCGTGATTAGCACAGCGCCTGGCACGTAGTAGGTGCTTGATAAATGTGTATTGCCTGACTGGGAAGCTTGTTCTCCATCCCTTGCCGTACCACCTCTCAACTCCATTTTATAGATGGGGATATTGGGGCTCAGAGAACTTAAGTGACTTGTCCAGGGTCATATAGGCATTAAGTGTCTGAAACAGGATTTGAATCCAGGTTTTCTCCACTCTGAGTAAGGCTCCCTCTGCACCACAGCTGCTGCTTCTTACTGGGCTACATAAGTAAAAAACTTCCTAACCGCAGGTGCCGTCTAAAAGGGTCCTATTTAGAGTTGGTGGCTGTAATGTTTGTATTAGTGAAAGCTAAACCATTAGATGGGAATAGTCGGGCCTTTGTGAAGGACTGGTTATGTGTCGGCACTTTGCTGAGCTCTGGGGAAGCCAAGAAAGGCAGAAGACCCCGCCCCCAAAGGGGCTGGCATTCTCCCAGAGATGACCGCATGCAAACAAAGGCCGCAGGGGAGGGGGCAGGTAGCCTCAGAGGGAAGTTACTGGCAGTTGGAGGAACTGGGAATGGCCTTCGATGGAAGGTGAGATTTGAGTTGAGTCTTCGGAGGAAGCCAGGACTCAGGTGAAGAGCAGAGCATTCCAGGCGGTGTCTCTTTGAAGAGCAGCAAGGAGGCCAGCTGGATGTGGTCTGGGGCTCTGAAGACCGGACCTGCCTTTCCATTAGTAGAGGCAACTCCCCGGTGAGGAAGCTCTGTCGAGTCTTGCTCTGGCCCTGAACCCGGACAGGATTCGTCTGAGCAGGGACTTAAACCTATGCCTTCCACGCTGGGCTTTCTCACACCGCTGGAGCTAGCTCCCCACCCCCACCCCCCACATCCCCTCCTTCCACCCAGTCTGCTGGAGGGCACCGGGTCAAGGCTGGGTGGTGGCAGAAGTAGAGCTGGGAGGGACCTTTGAGGTCATCTAGTCCAGCCCGAGCTTTGCAGAGGAGAAATGATGTGACTTGTCCAAAGCCACACAAGTAGTCAGTGGCAGAGCTGGGAGTGGAACACCCGGCCTGTGACTAACTAAAAATGCTGTGCCCTCACCAGGGAGCGCAGTCTTGGAGAGGTGCTCTCCTGCTGAGGAACAGCTTACATTAGGTCCTCTGCCCTCCTGTGCAACACGTTCAGTTGTTATTGCGGCTCTTCTTTCTCTCTGACTGTCTTTGAGTTACATGTTTATAAAGCTTCTACACAGAACCTGGCTCCTACCTCCCTTTGTCCCTGGCAAAACAAACAAGCCAGCAGGTATTTATAGTTCCCTGATTAATTCAGAGGAGGGCCTAGAGAGTCCTTCCTCCAAAATTCAGAAGATGAGAACATTTCTCCCACTCCTCTGCACACAATGGTTTCAACCTTTAAACTGTTCCAGACATCAGTTCAATAAAACTGTTCCTGGTATTTGGTGTAGGGGAACTCCACTGTGCATTTGGTAGGGATTTGAACAGAAAGCACCTAAAGAATTCACATTGATTCTTTACTTCAACTCCATGGTTGTTTCTTGTATTACTTTTGATTTAGGGAAAAGCATATTACCAAATATATCTGTATACACAGATAGGTAAACTATAAAAAAAATTCACAACTGTTGTTACTTCCAATTTCTTTGTGAACTGAACTACTTTCGTTCTGGGTAATAAAGGAAGTAGCCTGGCATCATGGAAAGAACAGTGGGCCTGAAGTGGCGTTGGGTTTCAGTAGAGGCCTTACCCTTGACACATGAGATAGCCTTGGCCAGTTATACCCACATCCAACGTGAAGGCCTTAAGGTTTACTGTGAAGTACTTTCTCACAACTCAGCTCACCTCTAGGAACTTTTTAGATGATCTCTAAGATTCCCTATGGGTCTGACAATTTAGGAAGCTGGATTTTGCTGATTGAGTGTCTGAGAGATGACGGTATTTTAATGAAGTGGAAAGAGTCTTGGCCTTACAGCCAGAAAATCTGACTTCAGATGAAGCTCTGACTCTTAGGATTGTAACTGGCAAGTCGTTGAGCTTTTTTTTTTTCCAAAGCTTGGTTTTTCTACCTGTAAAAGAGAAATAATAATTGTACTACCTACCTCATATGGTTTTGAGAGGAAAGCACTTTGTAAGTCTTTGTGCCTGCCATATGAAGGTACGTGATTGTCATGCTAGAGTAGTTAAATATGCCCTGGGTTTCTCATATGCTTTATTTTGTTTCCGTGATTAAGGCCCTTTCATAAGGTTTCAGCAGCAGCCTACATAAATGGTAAAATGTTAACATTGGAAGGGACCTTAGAGATCTCCAGGGAATCCAACCTCCTCGTTTTACAGATGAGCAGATTGACTCCCAGTGGTCACAGTGGTGGATCCAGGACTCAGATCACCTCCTTCCAGTCCACCATATTATAGAATACTTTAGAATCACAGCTTTAACATTGGCACAGTTAGGTTTACATTGAATTTTTTAAGAGAACTTTATTCCCAAATTCTGACTGTAAGAATCATTTGTGATTCTTCCCTCTCTCTGTTACCTATATTTTAATTCTCATATATATCCAGTCTTTTGAATTTTAATTCCCTCCCTTTAATGTTTTAAAAATTCCTATGTTTAATGAACTCTGCTCATCCTTACATCATAGCATAATCTATGTGAAAGCATATAGCTTCTCTAAGAGTCTTAATACGAAAAAACATTAATGATCCTTTGACAATACTTCGTTTACATTTCTGTTTCCTGCAGTCTCTTTCTTTGTGTGTCAGGTGTGATTTATTTTTTAACATCCTGTGAAAACTTTGATCTGACTTAAAAACCATGTTTGAAAGTCTTATTTGAAGCTTTCTTGACCTTTACTTATCCTTCTTCCCACCTGCAGCTCTAGCTTCGATGAACCAGTTCTTGTGTCCTTTCCTTTCTCCCTTTTCCCTCTCCCACTCCCACCCTGGGAAACCTAACATGCATTATTAGATACTCAAATACTTAGTGATTAATGGGAACCTCTGGTGTATGGACATATTCTTGATGGTATTTCTACGGGTTGTAGAACCAAAAGAAGCTTGTATTGGTCGCCTGACAACTTTCTAGCCAATTAAAGAAGTCTTTCTTGAACTCAGAATACAGAGCTACAAACCAAGAGTTCCAGCAGATTAGTGAAAGGGGAGTTGTTGTCTACCCTCACCATTCGTTATCCAATCAGGGTGGAGAAGGAAATAACAAACCACTCTGGTATCTTTACCAAGAAAACCCCAAATGGGGTCACAAAGAGTCCAATGTGACTGAGATGACTGAAGAGCAACAACAGAGTGAGAGCTTTACTGAGAAAATAATAGCGCTCATTTATATAGGACCATAAGGATTTCAAAATACTGTGCATCTCTTATTTCATCTTTGAAATAAGCCTGTGAGGTTGGTGCTAGTATATTATTGTCCCTATTTTATAGTTGAGGAAATAGGCTGCCAGAAGTTCAGTGACTTTTCCAAAGTCATGCAACAAATACATATCTGAGGTTGGTTTTGAATCCAGCTGTTTCTGACTCTTGAGTTCAGTGATCTGTCATGTACATGTGGACGTTTGGAAATCATCTAGCCTAATACCTCCCACCCCTTGTAACAAATATACATAGTCAAGCAAAACAATTTCCCTCATTGGTTATGTCTAAAATGTGTGACTCAGTCTCCATGTTGATTCTGTCACCAGGAGGTGTGTAGTTTAAAATTTGGAAATGATTTCATTTGGCCCCTTCTTTCTATAGATACAGAAACTGAGGCCAAGAGAGGTGAAGCTGCCTGCCCAAGGTGATGGCTCTTGGTGGGGGAGCCAGGGTGAAACCTCCCATGTCGCCTTCATCCCCTTCTGTGGCCTTTCTAACATACCAGACTGCTTAGAGGCAGCAGGAGAAACCAAGGGCCTGAAGTCAGGAAGACCTGAGTTCAAATCCAGCCTTAGACACTTAGTAATTTTGTGACTCTGGGCAAGTCCCTTCACTACTTTCTGCCTTGGTTTCCTCAACTGCAAAATGGGGATAATTAATCATAGCACCTGCCTCCTAGGGTAACTGTGAAGATTGAGATCATTTTTATAAAGTACTAACCTGAAGTGCCTGGCACATAGTAGGTGCTAATGAATACCTGTTTCCTTCCTGGTGGCATATTCTTCCATTCCTTGAAGGAACTTGGAACTACATAGTCTCATCACTTTGCTTACCAAGAAAACCAAATATAAAAAAGTGGTCTGCTTATAATAAAATAGGTGCTCTGTGTTGGGCCTTGTTTCTCTTTCTAGTCTTCCCACTGAAGGTAGAGTAAATGCCTTTTGACATTATCTGTGAAGGGAAGTAGTGTTCAGCAGAAAGGCAATGACAGATGGAGTATGTG